CGCCTCCACCGCCACCTCCACCGCCCCCGCTGGCCCCGTCCGCTCCCTTGCCCCCCTTGCCCTTGCCAGAGCGGCGTCTCCCGCTAGGGGCAGACGCCGCACCGACCGACTCAAGACCAACGAGGTCGGCCGCAGCGGCAGAGGCGGCAGAGGGCAGGAGAGGGGAAGGAGAACACCCCTCAAAGATGGGGGCGCGGGGGTCACCTCGAGAGGCTCCTACAGCGACTATGCTCTTCTCCGCCGCTAGGAGGGCCTTCTCGAGGCTGTCGATTGTGAGGGTGGTGGGACAGACCGCGAGGAAGTGGTCCCGGACTACACGAAGGGAGTCAGGGAGGCGAGTGACTAAAAAGTAGAGAGTGATGTACATGGGGGGGGGGTTCTTGGCGCAGAAGTCAGCAGGAAGCGCAGCGCGGTAGCGAGTGTCACTAGTGCTGAGGTGCGTAATGAGGTCAGCGACAGTGGGAAAGGCGGCAAGGTCAGGGAAGAGGAAGGGGAGCATGAGGCGGCTCAGTGCAGCACTGGCAGGGGAGGAGTAGCGCGCAACTACAGCGTCGTACAAGGTCTGGGCACTCTTGTACTGGCTAAAGTGCGCGCGCTCAGCGGTAGGCAGGTGGCGACGCACAGCAAGACGTGCAGCAGCATCGCGCGTGGCCCACTGTGAGCGAACAGTGGCGTCAGCATCAGCAGCAGGGGCAGGGACGGCGCCAGAGGTGAGGTCAAAGAGAGAAAGACCGTCTGCCCTATTGCACTGTAAGAACAGCTGCAGGTCGTCGAGCCAGACCTCAAAGTCAATGGCACGACCCTCAGCGTCAAAAGCTAGAACACTAGGGGTAGCCATGACTGCAACCGGCGATCTCACCAGACAGGACGGGTCGGGGAGCACAGTAGCACAGCAAACACGGCTGCTCGGCCGGCCCAGCAGCAACAGCAGCACCTCGGCACCAGCGGCTCGGCTCCTCGGGCGGCTCGGGCGGCTCGGGCGGCTTGGGCGGCTCTGGCGGCTCGGGCGGCTCAGGCGGCTCTGGCGGCTCGGGCGGCTCGGGAGGCTCGGGCGCTCAGCGGCACAGGCGACCCGGGCGGCTCTGCAGCTCGGGCGGCTCGGGCGGCTCGGCTCCTCAGCTGCGCAGGCGGCTCGGGTGACGCGGGTGGCACGGGCGGCTCGGGCGTCGTGACGGGCGGCTCACGGGCGGCTCGCGGGCGGCTCACGGGCGGCTGAAGGGCGGCTCACGGGCGGCTCACAGGCTGCTGTCGGGCGGCTCACGGGCGGCTCACGGGTGGCGCACGGGCGGCTCACGGGCGGCTCACGGGCGGCGCACGAGCGGTCACGGGCGGCTCACGGGCGGCTGAAGGCGGCTGACGGGCGGCGCACGGGCGGCTCACGGGCGGCTGAGGGCGGCGCACGGGCGGCTCACGGGCGGCTGAGGGCGGCGCACGGGCGGCTCACGGGTGGGTCACGGGCGGTTCACGGGCGGCGCGTCGGGCGGCTGAGGGCGGCGCACGGGCGGCACGTGGACGGCCTTGGGCCTGGCGGGCAGCACGCGGGCGGCTAAGGGCGGCGCGCGAATGGCGCGCGGGCGGCCTGGGGCCTGGCGAGCGGCGCGCGGGCTGTGTAGGGCGGCGCGCGGGTTCTAGGGCGGCGCGCGGGCTGCGTAGGGCGGCGCGCGGGCTGCGTAGGGCGGCGCGCTGGCTCTAGGGCGGCATGCGGGCTGCTAAGGGCGGCGCGCGGGCTGCTAAGGGCGGTGCGCGGGCTGCAAAGGGCGGCGCACGGTCGTGAAAGAGAGAGCCCGGAGCGCGCTCCGGGCAGAAAAAAAAAAAAAAAAAAAGTCGAAGTAGTTGTGGGCCCTAAGCACAGTTCCCACAGGGGAACCTGCTCGATACCATGAGAAGAATAGAACGAGAATGAAATGACTATGAATGAAGTGGGTACAAATAGGAAACCCTAATGGGATTGTACCCCCTATGGGATTCCCCACTATAGCCTACACAAATAAGTAAGCTATAATGTTCTGACAAAAATATATATGCGTGCTTGTGCGAAGTTGTAATCAACCTTTGGGGTAAATATTTTCTCTATCAATGTATTGACGTGAAGAGAACTCTCTGCACACGACCATTTCGTCGTCAACGCTGTACATACGAGTTTTGGGAGTGCTCTAGTGCACGTCGTTGTCTTTACACTTAGTACGTCCCTCTAAAAAACACGGACCCTTGGTTAGGGGCTGGCTTAGCCAGGCACCCGAGGACCCTTGGAGGTGACCCCGTGGGGACCACTAAGAGTGAATTAAAGAGCGTGTATAGAGTTTCTAGATCCCAATAGTAGTCAACATTTTGAGCACTCCAATTCCTGCACTAGTTTACGCCCAACCATGTATTGTAATTTCAGCCCACCCATGTCACTCGCCACTCAAGTACAGTAACAACTGGAACTCTGATTTCAATTTGTCAACCCTGACAGGTCATAGTGTTTTTTGTCAACACTGGGCGCCACAAGAAGGCTCAGACTTGCCGTTTTGCGGCCAATGGGCCTTCATATTAAAATTTGGGGGGGGGAGAGGGGTGCGGGGAGGGGAGGGGGGGGGGGGGGGGGGGGGGGGGGGAAGAAATCAGAGTCGCCATATTTGATTCGTCAGCCCTGCCCACCCATGTGCTTCCAGGTGTGCAGCACCAACTGCGGGCTGCTGGGGTACTAGCCGCCGTGTTCCTCACCCTCCCATCCATCGTTATGCTGCCTGCACCACTGCAGTAGCTAATCACGTTGTCATGCCAGCAAGCCAGTCTGCAGCCCTACATTGCCCCAGCCACACAGGGATCACTTCTGAAAATGCTTTGAGAACTCTTGAAAGCCACTTCTGAGGGTCCTTACAACTGAATCTGGTGCAGTGCCACTAACTGCGCCAAATCACTTTAACTGTCCAGTTGCTTTCACCCGCATGCGTTGCCGTTGTGCCGCCATGAATCTCCCCAACGGCATCCACTGCCCCACCTTCTCCCCCTGCTCTGCAGGCACCCGTGCCTTTTCTACACAAATTTTGGTGCAGCTTTAACATAGCTGTATCAGAGCTGGTGTTCAAATCCCATTGTTTATCTTCTCTTTTAGCAATATCTGTTGTAAGTGACTGTTGCTCATAGGGTCACTTGAGATGACCAAGAGATCATGAGGATTAAAAATTGACAAACATATGAGTGCGTTGATTCACAAAACCAACATGCTTTTTCTTACCCAGTCTGTTGGCGGACTTGCGAAGATAACTCGATCAACGGGAGCTAGGCACGGGGCAAGGGTGATCTTTGCATTCCTTAGTCGTTTCCTGGTGTTCTCACTGCTTGCTAATTCATGGGAGAATTTTGCAAGAGTTTCACTGGGAAAAGAGTTCACAACAATGATAGCAACAACATTGGTATGCAAGGCTACATCAGAGCTAGCACAGCTGCTGGTCGACTGCCAGCGCAGCACGGACGACCGCGTGCCAGCACCACTTGGTCGGCCGCGCTCCAGCGGAGCTAAGTCGCGGCTTGCCAACTTTGCAAGTTCACGGTGTGCCAACAGTGCAGCAAGTCGGCTACACAGCGTTGCACCCGCAGGACAATGGTGCACCTGCTTTGCAGGTGCGTGCAGCACCAAGAGATACCACATCGAGGTCGGCCTTGCCATGAACCACCTGAGCGACTATCGCGCGTCTCCGCAGAAACCCGTCGCCCGGATAACCTGGTCGACCGGGCAACCACGTCGACCGGGTGCTCCTTTACGTGCCCGTCGACCTCCCAGTCGACGACCACCTCTAGTCGACCTCACAAGGCCGACCACACTCTTGGTCGACCAGCTCCAGGTTGACGACACTCCTGGTCGACAAAATCCAGGTCGACCAGTACACCTGTCGGCCGACCACACCTAGTCGGCTTCCCCAAGTCGGCATCACCAAGTCGACGCCTCTAATGTCGACCTCGCCAGGTCGACCACCTGAAGTTGGCGCCCTCCCAAAGTCGACGCACTTGCAGTGGCCCCCGTGCAGGTCGACCAGCCCGTCGACCAGCCCGCCCACTACTGCAGCTCGGCTGCACCCTTCACACCCGACCACGAAGTCGGCACCGCCCAAGCTAGGACAGGGCCAAACACAACTCCCTTTGACGGGACTGGTGTTAGCAAGATGTCAAGGCGGTCAAGTACTGAACTCTCAAAGCGTATTCCTACAGCCTCATATCAGGCCAACCTCGTATCAAGCTTGCAAAACACTTCAATCTCGGCTTGCTTTGATTGTTTATTGCCTATTTCGTGGTTTGATGCGTGAAAGAAAAAAATAAAAAAAATCTGAATGTGTCAAGCGTGATTGCCTGACGTGGCAGACAAGGCACGCGAGCACAATGACGGTTCATCGCCCTACTGTTCGATTCGAACCCGACAACACATTGCTGCATTTGCGTGCTATAGTAGATCAGCCACACGTGGTTTGCTGATATGGCACACATTTTTTTCTCACGCACATTTTTTCCCGCGCGCATCTCACGCAATACAAGTACTGAATTCCGGATTTATAACAAATTTCTCGAGTTTGTCCAATCCTGATACGAGGTTGGCCCGATATGAGGTTGTAGGAATACAGAGTGTGCACCGACACTCATAGCTCTTTCCCATTGCGAGTGCATGTTGTTCATAAGGGCCACTGGGACGACCCACATATGCTGCAAAGGCAACACGTATGGTCTTGGGGGATCTGGATGCGTTGACTTACCAATTTATACATGCCCTACCACCACAACTAGTTTGCTAGGTGGCGTTTCTAGCATTGGTTGGTATATCAATGCCATTGCATCCATGGGCACCAATAATAACTCCTGCACTCGTACATAACACCGTGTGTGTGATTGTGGTTGTGGCTGTGGCTATGTGAGTGTGCCCAGGCACACGGTCACAGGCCAAGATAGCGGACTTAGGCTTACTGAAAAAGTTGAGACAAGTAGGAGAGGACGGTGATCAGACACGAATAACCGGGACACCAGGCTACATGGACCCGGATTACTGCCGCTCCCATGTGGTGTCGGAAATGTCTGACATGTTCAGGTGGGATCTAGAAAAGGAGACACTCTGGAGTGTGCTGCCATCAAGGTTTTCAGTCTTTTTCTCCCTCCATCACATGAACCACTTGTCTGCATGCTGTTTATCGCAACTTTGTTGTTGCTTTGACCTCTTTACCATTTTCTCCTCTCTGATTTCCCCCACATGTGAGCAGATTTGGTGTGGTACTGCTCCCTCTTTACCGTTTTCTCCTCTCTGATTTCCCCCACATATGAGCAGCTTTGGTGTGGTACTGCTTGAGCTCTTGACAAGGCAGAGGACGCATGTGGAAGGAACTACCGTACATATTCGTAAATGGGTAAGGGCATGGTAACACTCGTGACATAATCCTCGTCTAAGATGGTCCACAACCCACACCCTCCCTTTTATGTCTTCTTTGAATCCAACGCACCTATACCTCTTCATTCTCCCTCATGGAGTCACTTGCTGTCCTCCCACAATCTCCGGCTCTCCCTCTCTCCTAGCATGACAGGCAGCGTGCAAGGTGCAGGCGTACGAGTTCCGTGAGCTGAAGGATGTGGCACTGGAGGCCCTGGAGGATGCGGTGGTGGAGTTTGCTGACATCGCTCTCAACTGCGCCAAGGTGACTGGCTCCCGCCAGCCCTCTAGGGAGGACGTCGCCTGCCGTCTGCAGGCACTCCTCTCCAACCATTGCAGCGAAGGAGAGTGCAACATTGAACCGAGCATGCGCCTGTACAAAACCATGGAGGAGAGCCTAGAGAGGCTCACTGGTGGTGGCATGGATGATTTTGAAAGGAGTGAGATTTCGAAGGATGTGTGAGGACTTGTTGCTGGTTGTTCGAGCTGGAATCTGCCAGGGAAGTGGTGATTGCTGGAATGCAGCTAGTCTACAATAAGAACCAACTTGGGGTTTGCATCTGGCAAGGCTACACTACCGCTTTTGTGCAGGATGATGGGAATGATTCATCTCTCCCTTGTTTCTGTTGATCGTGAGTGTTTTAGGTGGATTCTTAAGATACCGGCATCCCCCAAATATACGCACCGCTGGTAACTTTGCTTGCAACGCTATATGTTTGTATGGTCAGTGTGCATTTAGAGGTATAACGTATCATTCTCAGCACGAATATCAAAAATCTAAAGTACCATCAGACCCTGGATGTACGGTATGTGCAGGCCTATGTACCAGCAGATCGGCATCCATGATTCGTTGAAGTTGGATTACTTTAAGCCTCCAATGTAGTGTTTGACATGCTACCCCTCGTGCATGTAGCCCACCTGCTCGCAGAGTGCCAAGAATCTTCTCGTATAGTCCTTGACCAATCCGAGCTGCCGCCAAGTGTAGCTTCTGGCCCGCCAAAATCGAAGTCGTCAATGGCTCGAACCTCCAGCATAGACCTGCACACAATGCGTCCCACTTGCAGCATTAGGTTATTTCACAGTAGGAGGGTTTTCAAGGAATCGTGGGTCCAGAAGGTCGTTGCGGTAGCGGCTCGTAGTCGCTCCGTGCAGTGACGAATGTCAGAGGTCCACTGGTGATCCCCGATCGATCCTAGGGAAGGGTTACAGGCACATTTGCCTGGGGGGTTATGGGCGCACTGACCCGCTACTGAAACAAGCCCTTTTATCCCAATGGTCTAGTGGTTGGGATTCTGAGATGGTATCCAGAGCGAAGGTCTCGGGTTCGAATCCCGGTGTATGCACTTCGGGCATCCCAGTGCGGGGGGGTGTCAGAGGTCCACTGGTGATCCCCGATCGATCCTAGGGAAGGGTTACAGGCACATTTGCCTGGGGGGTTATGGGCGCACTGACCCGCTACTGAAACAAGCCCTTTTATCCCAATGGTCTAGTGGTTGGGATTCTGAGAACGAATGCACGCCACCAATCCATGGTGGCTTCTTGTAGTTACGATACAGCGTATCTGATTTTCGCTGCATCAATTGTGACGTTATTTGCATCAAATATACATTCATCATGAAGATCCATGACTGAACTGTTAGACCACGCCATTGACTTAGGTTGAGGCATGAGCGCCATGGGTGTCGCATTCTTAAAACCGTGGTTTTCTGTCGCGATGTTGATGCGGCGGCAATCCCCACGTGGTGGTTCCGCTATAGTCGGTCCGATGAGGTGTGTCGTACCTCCTACATTGCATGCTTCGCACGTGGCGCCATTGTCAGAATCCCAACCACTAGACCATTGGGATAAAAGGGCTTGTTTCAGTAGCGGGTGAGTGCGCCCATAACCCCCCAGGCAAACGCGCCTGTAACCCTCTCCAGGATCGATCGGGGATCTCACAGTGTAGCTCTACTGACACCCCCCCACACTGGGAGGCCCAGGACTGAGCACAGTGGCAACGGCCTACATGTGCATACACCGGGATTCGAACCCGAGACCGCTCTGATACCATGTCAGAATCCCAACCACTAGACCATTGGGATAAAAGGGCTTGTTTCAGTAGCGGGTCAGTGCGCCCATAACCCCCCAGGCGAACGCGCCTGTAACCCTCTCCAGGATCGATCGGGGATCTCACAGTGTAGCTCTACTGACAGCCATCATTGGCAGCGGTCGAGTGTTGCCCCACCCTCATGTTGGGGCAGTGTTGTCAGTGTTGGTGCTGCATGTTGTGCTTGATTCTTGTTCCGTCGTGAGCGTGGTAATTAAATTTACGTGGAGCTATTGTAGCAATTCGTCCAGGTGTTCCTGCGCGAGTTTCACAATAGGTAGGCGGCCTCTATACTGCAGCATTGATTGGTTGGTCGAGTTTTGCGAACATCGATTGATTGGTCGACAACTTGACAACAGGTAGGCGGCCTCTGTATTGCAGTCTTGCAAATATGGACGATTTGCAGTTGAAAATGTGCTCACGACCCAACAAAGTTGCAAACGTGTAAACGGAAATATCTCGCGACTCAACCAAGACACTGATGTCCGTTGATTATTAACAAGGTGGCACTTTCGAGTTGATAAGGCGTCAGGAGAGTGTCCACCGTGATTAACATCTATCAAACTGCAAAACAGTGGCCGCTAGTTACGAGCTTCGTTAAATCAACGACGCCATTCTCAAAAGGGTTACCTTTGCCAACAATGGTCCATCAGACTCAGTACATTCAGGACTTGACATGCCCGTATCACGCTTAGGGACGTATGCTTCTTCAAGAAAAAGAATAAATAAATAAAAAGGTTAGAGGGAGGGCTGGTTGTGGAAGAGAAAAATGTGCGGTTCGAAAGGATGGGGCTCCGAGTAACGAGTGAATGGGGTCTGCCTTAAGGGGCAAGATAATTAAAATATGAGCGATAGCATGAGAGAAACATTTAAAGCGAAAGGTGCGAACCATAACGCAGTGCGGCAAGCTAGTCTATGGAATGCTGGCAGTGAGGCTCGGGCTGGTACCAAACTGTAGGCTGCAAGGTTTGGCAAATGTAACGTGCAAAGTGGCAAACACCATGAATAAGTAACGAGCAAAGAACATTCAAGTGCACGGTACGCATGTGTTCAGTAAGAAATTTGGAAGATTTGATTCCACTCACGAAACGCAAGAGTATCAGGCTGGCACTTGTGTTTCGCAAAATCGGTTTGCGACGAATTTTTTTTTTATCTCGACAAATGTAGACTATCTTACCGTCTATTTCCGGACATAAACCCGGGGGACTTTCTATAAATTCAGTGAAAAAGGCTAGGGTGAACATCATTGATAAGAGTCCCCAACATCTATTTTGCCCCTGAAACCCCCGTATTTCTCTCTACAGTACAATTTCTTATACGCATATTGAGCACCACAGAAAACATATCGAAAGTGCCTTTTCAGACCTTTGATCTGACACGGTCAACGTGTCAGGTTCAAGGCTGACACATTCATCAGAAGGCCGCGCTTTCCCTTTGGAATCTGAGGCGCGAATTTATAAAGAGCAACAAAAAACACAGTTTACACTCAAGAGGGGGGCTCTTAAAATTGTTAATATTGAAACGGGGGTCTTCACAGATTGGTCCTAAGTAAGCGTCCCCCCTTCCCCCCCCACTCTCCCTCCCCCCCCCCAATGAATGACCTGGGGGACTTTCTTTCCGGAGGGTCATATATCCGAGAAAAGACGGCATAAGTCTTAGAGGGAATTCTAAAGACAAATCATAGCCAATCCCCAATGACATAGCCTGAACGCTCGCAATGGCGAGGTGGAAATTTTTGGTGATCGCATTTAACTGAGGTTGGGATTCTGAATTATACCCAACCAAGAAAGCGTAAACTGAACCAGGATATAAACTACGTACAACCAGAAATTTGAGATTGCAGTTTACCCTAAATAACACCCCGCAGAGAGTATATTTTGGAGGTGACGGTACCATACGAATGTACCCTAAAACACTAAAACTGAACAACCACTAGGACTGATGAAGGATGCTCATTATCCTAAACCCGCCTAAAGTCCGCTCTAGTTGAAGCACCCACATAATCCCAAACTAGCTTCACTATAGCATTCACGACTCCTCGGAGATCTCGCTCTTTCCAAAAGTATCCAGGGACCACCCATGCCACCACCTGTGAGCATCTCCAGGCTCTCCACCATGCTCTCCTTTGCGCTTTTCCTGATAAGCATGCTTGATTCAGGAGAGACAAATATTTCCTCGCTGCAGTGCTTGGAGAGCAGTTCATGAAGGCGGCATGCGACGTCCTTCATGGGGGGGCGGCGGGAGCCGGGCACCTTGACGCAGTCGAGAGCGATGTCCGCAAACTCCACCACCGCCTCCTCCGGGGCCTCCAGTGCCGCGTCCTTCAGCTCGCTGATTTCGTATGCTTGCACCTTGCGCGCCGCCTGTCATGCGTGGAGGAGGGGGATGAGAGAAGTTGAACGAGAATGAATGCAGTATGAAAGAGTTGGGTACAAGTACTAACCCTAATTGGGTTGTACCCCATATGGGCTACCCCACTACAGCCTACACAAAAGCATAAGCTATAATGTTCCGACACACCCCCATAGGCAAAGTGGGGGAGAACAAGGGGTCACAAGACCAGTCAAGCAAAGCAAAGCAAAGCAAGCTTAGGGTGGATCACAAAGTCACCATACAGTCCGAGCACAAGGTCAAGGCCACAAGGCCAGTTCACATGCAGGAGTGCACATATATATATATAACACTAAACAAGCAAGAGCAGGTATATATATATGCAAGAGTACAAGTAAGATCAAGAGGTGAGCAAGTGAGGTAAGACAGGTACAAGTCCCAGCTGAGTGCAGAAGCGCTGATGATCACAAGGCGGAAGTGCCTTGGTGAAAACATCAGCAGTGTTGGCCTCATAGGCCACGTACGCAAGTCCCAACTGACCACGCTGCTGCAGCTCACGAGCAAGAAAGTAGCGGAGAGCAATGTGCTTCGTTCTGTGCTCCAGTCGCTGCTCTCGACACAAGGCCAGCATGGCCTTGTTGTCTACGTACAGCACTGGAGGAGAACGAGGCGGCTCTCCAAGGTCAGTCAGCAGGTAGGTGAGCCAGCGAAGCTCCTGAGCAGCCATGGCCCCGGCGTAGATCTCAGCCTCACAACTGGAGCCGAGAACAGAAGACGAGCGAGTAGCCCGCCATGAAACAGAGCCGGAACCAAGACTGAAGGTGTAACCCTGTGACGACCGCTGAGTAGCCTGGTCGTCAGCCCAAGAAGCGTCCGCGTGCCCAGTGAGGACCACTGGACTCTGTCAACGGGAGTTGTGTATTGGCCCCGTCCTCGCTTGGGCGGAGCCGACTTCGTGGTCGGGTGTGAGGGGAGCAGCCGACCTGTAGCAGTGGGTGAGCTGGTCGACGAGGAGGTCGACCTGCACGGGGGACCACTGCACGGGC